TCGGATACAGGTCGCATTACGTCAAAAAAAATCGGAATTGAGTCACTTCAGGCTGCAGTGTGAACGCACCCTATGACTGTTTGTGAAGACCTTTTGTATTTATACTCACCTCAGTGGGGCATTGCAATGTAAGGATGTTTTTCTTATGGTCTGGAATATGTTGGTCGACAATGGGCTGAAGCTGTGAAAAAAAAATAAACCACACACATAGATGTGACATCCTCTCAGAGTGACAGACTAAAAGTGTTGGTCAGTGTCACTTTCACAACTTCAGATCTCACCAGGTTTTTCCACAACTGTAGCATCAGTTCATCAGTTCGCTTTGAGGCTTCAAACTCTCCAATAGGCTTTCCAGTCTGCTAGCAAGAAAGATTTATACATATTCAAAAGATATGATCACCTTTCTCCTTTCTCTAAATATACAGGTATGTTAGATGCTGCTTGTCGGAGAAAGTGTAAATGTAAAACGATCACATCAGCAGCTTAAACTCACAGATGACAGGCCTCTGATGAGAGGGGTCGCCTGAAGAGTGACAGTGAAGTCATCTCTGTCTCTGTACCAATGTTTCTGTACCATCAGCTCATCCAGCAACTCCTGGAAAATAAAAACAGTTAGAAAAGAGCAGTTTGAAACTGTTCAGACTCCTTTTATCTTACAAGTCTTTAGCAAACATGACGTTATGCAACAGCTCACTCTACAACTAAGTAGATCTTATTAAAAAGGAAGAAGCTTTATTTGGTGGGAATGAGAAACCTACCTGCAGGGTGTGAGTCAGCACGGCTCTCTGAAGCTTGAGTTCTCCGTCGGTGTATGTGTGTGTGCATGGGCACATCCTGTAAGCAAAACACCTTTATTTACTCAACAAAACCTATCAAGCTACTAAGAACAGCCAAAAACATGCTCAAAATTCAGTTATTTCAAAATAGTAGGCTAAATACTCATAGCAGACAATTTTCTTTTTCCACTTTTCTCTTTGAGCCCAGTATTATCCCTTTCTGATTCTTTCTTTTGGTGCTGCTTACTTTGTCTGGAATGTGTTTAGTCCTCCATCCCACAATGCCACACTGACAATGGTCTTTTTCAGCTGCAGCAAGTACAAGTAAAAGTACATTATACACATAATCACTGTCTCTTAAATTACTGCAAAGAGCAATGACACTATTTAATTTGCAACATACCTGAGAGTGGAGCAACTGCACAGCAATATCTACCTCCTCAACCAGCTGTTTGAGAAGAGACGAGATCTGCAGCAAAGACACAAGGATTGTTTTGTGAATAATTTCTTGACCGTTATGCTTTAGTCACTTTGAAGTTCTTTTTTCAGGAACTAATTACACATGAATAACATTTTTCCATCACATCTTGTGATTAAATCACGTCAAGGAAAGTTCAGGAGTGAGAGTTGGACTGTGAGATAATATCTGGACTCTGTAACTTTAAACCTCTGAAACAACACGCATTAAACTCTAATGAACAAGTGATTTTTATTAGTGGCCTTTGAAGTTTAGGCTCTAAGCAACTGATAGAGTCATGTTTATAATTTCCTCTTCAGTATCTAATTATGTTACTAGTTTGTCTGTTTTTGACTCAGTTGCATTGTGTACTTAAAGTCTTTATATTCTCTATTAAACATTAATTCCATGTAAATGTCAGTCATGTACAACACAGAATTAAACATGCACAACATGATACAATCTCATTCAACTGAGCTGTAAAGGTGCCAGTCAAGCATTCACCCTATTTGAAACTCTCCATCCATTTCTGATGCATGTTTAAACTCTAGATTGCCTGAGACAGATTTGCTGCTTTTTTCTCTTCTTCCCTTTTATCCAAATGCATTGTTTACCTGCTCCTGCTGCTCACAGGCACACAGTCGATCCAGCTGAACAAAGAGAAGCACCAACTTCCAGTCTTGATTCTCATCAGCGCCCTGCTGGAGGAAATCAGATCATATGATATTTTTATCAGGTTTTTTTTTTCAGACTCGGTATTAGTCTATCTAGACTTATGTTAGATGAGATTAGAAGCCATGACACTATATAAATGATATTTTAAATGGCAAATTATGTAGTGCATGGGAACAATATTCACACACTTCGCTTTTTGTCCCTAATACAATCACAAACGTCAATGTATTATTTGGATAATATATGAGTGACAACAAAAAAGAAAAAAAGAAACCATGAAAATAACAAATTAAAATAAAATAAAGATTCCACTTGTAGCAGACAAAATTGAAGAAATAATTTTACAATACTTTGTATTTAGAGCGGTATTTTTCTTTACTGGACTAAATTTAAACAGTATGTATTTTTATCCAAACAATGACGTTTGCCTCTTTACCAAAGGTGTCACCTTTCTTTTCCTAGCTGCGTTAGGACAGCATTGTAGCGAAAATGTCTAAAGACGAGAATCAAATTGAAATTAACGAATTAAGATAAAGTTAAATCGGAAAAATAAACTGGAGTTTTTACCTTGTTGCTCTGTAAGTAAAGGGACAATTTATTTGCTTGGTCCACCAGTGTGCTGTAAGTAGTAAGAGACTTTCAATAAGAATAAAAAGACATAACTTGAAGCATTCAGAATCACAAATTATGTGACGAGACAAAACTTTGTACCCATGTTGAAGAAACTGAGGGATGCGTTTGTCTTCTGAGATGGGAGTCACTAGTCCAGGATTGAACAGAGTCACCAGCTCTGTTCAAGAAAAGGAGGAGAAAATGAATAAATAAAAACACAAAGGAGTTAAACATCAAAACTCTAACAATTCAGAATTTAAGCAACACCTCAGCATGTACGGTAAAGAACAGAGTTATAATATACAATATTTCAGTCTGTGAAAATTAAATGCCAAAGCACTGTTTTGTTTCAGGCAGTATATGAAGTAGTAGTACAGTAACCCAGATTTTAAAAAGCTTTTATAGCAGTGGCAGCTGAATTAGTTCTGTGCTGTTTTGTTCCAGGAAGGCTGAATCTTGTCATGGGTTCTCTTCTCCAACTTCCTCCCACTGTCCAAAAACTTGCATTCTAGGTAAATTGGTCTCCCTAAATTGTGTGTGAGTGATCCTGTGTTGCACAGAGCAAACGCAGTTGAATTGTCCAGAGAGAGGCCCTCTTGCTAGATAACAGCTGGAGACAGCACCAGCCCACAGCCCACCCAAAACCCCCGGCAACCACCTAAACCTGAGAAAATACAGGCAATGTGTGGATGTCTGATACTATCTCAGCTAATGTCAATATCAGTGCGGTAAAGATAGTGCAAAGTGGTGCAATAAAAGCTCTGATAAATCTCAAAAGAGTTTTTGTCTAATGTAACAAATAGAACAGCAAGAAGCTGGAATTTACAGTTCCCATTAAATCATAGGAAAAAACAAGAACAAGGAAATCCTGGGTGAGTGAATTTCACAGTAATTATGAAAACTGGAGAAATAAAAGCAGGAACATACCTGTGAGTTTTGATAAGACTGTGGACAGCTCAGTGCTGCAGAGGAGGACCAGAGAGGGAATTTCAGATCTTTCAATAGAGACTTTACTGTATTAAAAATCATGGTTTTTTCTCACCTTTGTTCATTAAGTCCAGCATAGGAAAGCACTGCTACATCAGATGGTCTGACTGTGTCAGCTTGAGAAGAAAACATAAAAATATATTTGCTTATGTTGAATATTGCAGAAGTCAGAAAAAGCATAAGGAAGTTGTGCAATTATTGAAAAACGTATGCAGAAATTGATAACATTCCTCTAAAGAAGGACTTCATTAATCAAATACTATGAAATCTACAACTTATTCTCATTTTTTTCTTTTAATATGAGTAATAAAAATTAACTGGGTGTAAATCTGTAAAGGAAACCTACCAGTTAATGGAGGCTGCTGGGAAGGAAATATCTTGGTGCAAGGCTGTCCAGCTGATAAGGAATTAATAAGACATTTTAATTTTATGTAGAAAATGTAATGCCTATTGCATTTTATCTTTATGCAGACAATAAATAATTGTGATCAAATAAACAAAAACCTTAATGACACAAATGCACAGCAGATTATTGATAATTGACAACTATCCAATTCAGAATGCAAAGAGTATGAGTTAAAATATACTATGTAAAAAAACACATTATACAAATATAAGATTTTTGAATGCTCCAGAGACAACTGCCATCAGTTAATCTTAATCATCACTTATTATACTTTAGTCTGAAATACTAATCTGAATTTGATTATGAAGTAGCATAATCAACAGAGACCTGTTGCCCAGCTGAAACCCAGCAGGGAGATCAGAAGCAGCTGCTGAAACATCTTCCCCAAATGTTGTTGCTGTTGTGTCTCCTTCTCTGCATTCACCTCTCGCTACTCTTAACTGTCTTCCACTGTCATTATCACTTATAGCCTGAGACGTCAAACATCATGAGCCTCCATAAAGGGGGGAGGCGACTGGACTGTTCACTTGTTCAAAGGACACGGCTGTGAGGTTTTCCGCTGAAATGATGGAACAGACGTTATCTGAATGAAACCTTCCTTGAAAGCAATGTCATGTTTTGTAGCATTTCAAGATTCTGTTTTTGAATTATTGTTATTACATTCGGAGATTAGGAAAATTAGAGCAAGCCATGCTCTAATTTTAACCCTAACCCTTACTTATCAGAAACCATAATAGAAATGTGAGGATTTTCTCTATCAAAGCCTTGTTTGTAATCATACCTATTCATTTTTAAAGTGATTCATAATGAAACTCAGTTTTCCATTGTTATTTGTCCTTAAAATGAAGCGTGTTGAATTTACTTTTAGTCATCAAACAAAACATAGAAGGTTACACATCAAAATGGCACATAAACATTCCCGTCATGAGAAAAACATTCATATGTATTACTGATCTTAAGTAGAACATCTTTTAAAGTTTGTCTTTGCAGGCATATAACAAATGGAAAAAGAGAGAGCATTTTTACTGTGTGCTTAAAAAACAAGGGAAGAGGGAAAATGGAGGTGTGCAGCATTTAGGTAGTACTATATTTAGAAAAACTTTAAAAGGTCTGGGGCTTGCATCATCTTTTAGTTTATTTTATACTTACTGCCATGTTTCCTTTCTATAGCTCTTTGGGAATCACATTGCTGGTGCTGCATCTTTCTTTCATCAGTCAATCCAAGTTTTTGGTACTTTTCCAAGATGAAAATAAAGAAAAAGGTGGAAAGTGTGACTTTGTAATAAGTGGATTACAAGCAAGCCTTGGAACAAAAGGAACAGAGGAATAAAGGCTTTTCTACAGGACTGGGAGTTCCTGAGCCCTCAGATGATTTCTGTTTTTTTTTTTTTTTTTATTACAAGTGTTTTTCTAAATCCTCACAAACTTGGACGACCTCTGATAATTTGTTGCATCATGTCAAACCCTGAGTATATTTGGTAATTCACAATTGTGTCAGTCCATAGCATTGTTTTAGGTGAGATTCAGTTGGTTTCCATTATTCATATTCATCATTTGTTTTACAAAACAGAATGAAATGACATATGGCCACTCATTTTATTATTCATTCAAAAATAGTGAGATAAATGATGTGATGGGGGAAAAAAACAAAACAAACGGTAACACAGTTTTGCTAAGTTGCATTTTTGGAATACATTAACAATATAACGATTTGCAACATTAGCATTTACCAGCCAAGAATTTAACTGTTCAATTATATAACAATGATTCTTCAACATTGTAAAAATAACTCCCCTATCTGCCTTTTGATTGGAAAGGTGAAGGACAACATGACATAAGAGGAAATTAGTTTTTTGTTAGATGGATTTTCCTGATTTGTGATCCTGATATTAGTCTGCACCGCCTTTATGGCACCTTATCTTATGTCAAGGACATAGGCTCAGTCTGAACCTCCTGATGAAGCTTGGTGCTCTTTATCTGATTCTTTCTAATCTTTGCACAGATAAGATGTCTTGGTTGTTCTGAAGTGGCCCTTAACACAAAATATTTTATGCAACAGATGCAAATAATGGACAATAAAAGTAAGAGTAAAAACTGGAAAAGATGCAAAAAGATAATTTGTGCTGCTGACTAATATAAATCTTAGATATAAGCTAATAGGAAACAAAACATATTGACCCAGATGCTAACAGTTTAATATAAAAATATGGACATTTGATCAAATGTTCTGAGATTTTGCTATAGTGTGTTAGAACAAAATGTAATGAGAAACATTGTTCCATAATTTTCTTTCTCAGTTACAAGATCTGTAGAAAATTTTACACAATTTGAAATCGTTAATATAAAGGGTAAAGAAAAAAATGGAAGAACTTGATTTGATTGCTCAACTAACTATTTGTCATTATTCAAAATATTTTTACTTTCATTAGAGGTTTCTCAGTTTTATATGTCAGAAATAACACATCTGCAATGCAGTTCTGAAATAAGCATACAATTGTTAATAAACAGCAAAATGAAGAAAGCATGAAACATGTGCTTTGCCTGAGTCCTGCAGGACTTAGTCAATTATGCTTTAGGCTGACATTATGAATAGAAACAAGAAAAGTCAATTTGCACACATGGGTGGAATCAAGAGAGATGTAAAAAGAAAAGGTTATCCCATGTCTGGGATTAAAGGTATCAGACTGAAAGTCTACCAGATGGGCCATACAGATTACTTTTCACAAATCTGATCAAAATTCAGAATGAAAGCTTGAAAACTGCATCCACCATCTCACTGCTTGGAGACTGAGCAGGAAAGCCCACAGTTATGAACCTTAAATGTGCTTTGTTGTTGTGCATCTTAAAAATTCATTCTTGTAAATCACCTATCACCTATTGTTAATCACAAAAGATAATCTATTTGCTTGGGAGTAAGGTTTGTTGTATGATGTCATAGTAGGTGTGACTGTCTTGATCTTACAGCCAGTTAGAAAGTGCTGCTTGGTTTGTTTGATGCCAAAGTGATTTACAATTATCACTAACTGGCACGCCAAGCGCAGCTCATAGCTCCTAAATATTTATCTTCGTTAATAAAGTGATAAAATGAATCCATGCAATTAAAGAATGGACCGAACAAAGCAGGTAATTTATGTCACAGAAACCTTTTTAGGGAACATCTTCAATTCAGTTCAATTCCAAAACGCCACATTAATTCCAGAGAGAAATTAAATGTTGTAATGCCTAACTGCAACAGCATAAGGAAAAAGTCCAAAGCAAGTATTTTACTATAAAGGGTTAAGCATAAGCTTTTTACATAACAGCAGCATCTATCACAGCTTATTTTTTTAAACCATAAAATATACTGCTAACGTTTTCACCGTGAAATACATTTTTTGATGTACTTCCTCTTTAAGACTGTCAATTCATCTTCTTCTGCTGCAATATGGTCCTGTATCTCTGTGAAAACATGTTCTCTTCCCTGAATGATACAAATGGTAAGCTAATAATTTTCAAACTATCACGGTTATATTTTATTTATTTCTGCCAAAGGCCCAGCAAGAATGAGAATGAACACACAACAAAATGCTCGACTCCTTTAACTGAAGGGCTTTAATGCAATCACCCACGACCTCCCCCAAACAAAGATTGCAACATGTGGCAATTCTCTGTGACCAATGAGGGGATTGGGATGCTTCTACGTCACAAAATGGGAACGCTCGTGCACAAAGTAAAGTTATTTGTACAGGAGGAGGTCTGACTATCAAAATAAAAGAGCTTTTTATAACAGACCAATTCTAAAGAAGCAACACATGTAGTGCAGGCGTTTAAATTTTGAGAAATTATGTCAAGTGTTATTATCAATATAAATATAAAGTAAATTATTCATTATAATACAAAATAGATTCGCTCAAAATTTGCTTTTGAAAGTCTTCAGCGGAAACTCTGACTGACATATTTGCTAACTTTACTTTCGTCGCCTAGGACGCTGGTCTCACGAAAACAAAGCACTAAAGACGAAGAATTATAGTTTTCTAGAGGATAAAGGCGAAGAGTGAGTTACATTTCGATTTGAAAATACTTTTCAGTTGTCGTCTTTATAAATTACGAGGTAAGATATTTTAAGTTCACCGTTTGACTGTTTGGCATTTTGATGTAAACATTAGCTCTAAGTAGAAGCATGTAATGTCCGATGTCATTGTTTTAGACTGTTTTCTGACTAATAATGGGGCATTGCCTAATGTTAATGTTTATTATTATGTGACAATAGTTCAAACAAAAACTACAGATTTGCACACGTCGAGAGGAAACTGAATTACAGTGATGTAGCTAGCAGTAAACCAGGCCTGAGGTTGCCTTCAGGTGATCAACATAAATTTAGGATAAAAGAGTGTCAGAGGTTAGGTAGCGAGTGAATTGCTTCAAAACGCTGATACTTTATTATCATTGCATAAAATCATCTGTTTAATATTTTCTCTTGCCCATCGACCAAACTGTGATAAAATACTCTCAGATATGTTTGTGTTTAACTGTCCAAAATCTAACCAAAACAGGATACACTTTAAGGCTAATGCCATTATTGAACCAAGAAGGAATATGTTTAAAATGGTCTTGGATAGTGCTGGATATATGTTAATCTATGAAATATTAAATTACATTGCTATTGGCAGTTTGAACAGAGGAAGTTGTAATTTTCAAATCAGTCAGATATTTGCATAAGTATTTGAAGTACAGGAGTTGATCCTATTTGAACGAGCATCTGGCGTTATTCAGATGTTTTGCTGCCATTACATTTAAATGGGTGAGTTTTCCTTTCTTCTGTTCTGCTTCTCCTAAACTTGAGCTTTGTTTTTGTCCCACAAGTTGAGAAAATGGGCCGCATCTTCCTGGATCACATCGGCGGGAGTCGCCTCTTCTCCTGTGCCAATTGTGACACTATTCTGACCAACCGTGCTGAACTCATCTCAACGCGCTTCACAGGGGCAACTGGCAGAGCTTTCCTCTTTAATAAGGTGCCTATGCACATCATGGTGCTTGCATGACAAACTGTCGAAATGCTGTACTGCAGAAATGGAAATTGACTATAATTAGTATCCTTTGACTTGTAGGTTTAATTTGAATCTGCACTTTACCTATAGGAACATTTTAAAATTTCCCTAATGAACAACTCCTACCTTAATATGGCCTTTCAACATAAACATTATGCAGTGTTTAATAGGAAAGCAACAAAAAAGATAAAAAAACATCTGAAACCAAATATTTACCTACGCCAAGTAAAAAGACACACAAACATTTTTTCTTACTATCCGAAGATAAATCTGACCAAACCTCTCTTGTTTTAGGTCAGTTAGAACTATACAAGTCATTTCTATGTCATAAATGCCAGAAAACTTGGCAACTACATGTTTAAGATTTTTATTTTTTTTTTACTTGAATTTAAAAGTTCAAAATTCAGTTAGTATCAGGAATAACTGTCTTTTAAACGGGGTTAAACTTTTTGCGTTTCCTTCCTCAAACCTCTGAAAGTTAAAGTGATATATTTGAGGTAATTAGAGGCCTTTTATACAAGCTCCAAGCAATCCATAAGCATTTCTTTATAAAATGTAAAAGACAGAGTTACAATAATTTGTATGAGGTGTAGAAAAAGCATAAATAACGTCCGCATCTCGGCATGGAATGATACTCAGTTCAGTGATCATTTTTAACAGATTTGAAAACAACTCTTTACCCTTATTTAAGCACTAAATTACCACTGAATGTCAACAACAGGTGCCCACTAATTTGGGAGACAAACCTATCTGGAGAAGAAATTAAATCCTCTGTTTGGTTTTTGTTTAATTGGAGAAAATTGCCCAACATTCAGGATTGTAAAACTTCTGTATCACTGATAATTTAAAGATTCACTTGGGTTATAAAGCTGCATTTTAAAGGGCGGCAATAGGGAACCTTGTGGAACTTGATGCTTAAAAGTTACAGATGGAATGTAAAGTTCAATTTTGAAAAAGAAATCTGGGAAACATCCAAGATTTTAGCATTCAGACAAACAGCTTTTACATATGATTTTGGAATCTCATTGTAGTTTGCTGGGGTAAGTCAAATTCTTATTCACAGTCCAGTGATAATAATCACAACTTTTGCCCTTCAGGTTGTGAATCTGCAGCACAGCGAGGTGCAGGACAGAGTCATGCTGACAGGAAGACACATGGTGCGAGACGTCAGCTGCAAGAACTGCAACAGCAAGCTGGGCTGGATGTACGAGTTTGCCACCGAGGAGAGTCAGCGATACAAGGAGGGCCGAATAATCCTGGAGAGGGCATTGGTGAGAGAGAGCGAAGGCTTCGAGCACGTTCCGTCCGACACCTCTTGAGTTTCTCTATCCATCGGTGTGCTTACAGTCATGCGGCTTTTTCCTCCAGCAGTAGTACACACCCTTGCATGGACAGTGATCTTTTTGTGAGTAGAGCTGCACCAGAATAAAATCCTGATCCGGGTGTTTGTGGGAAAATCAGAGTTAAGGGTGAACTGTGTTGCTGCTTTTGCCCATGTCAAATTTCCTACAGATTCATGGCATGCCCAGTAGGCTGCAGTGTTGTTTAGGTTTCGTGGGGGATGTGTCAGCTGTTACTCCCAGATGAGGAGGATTTCCTCCTAAATTACCGTATGAAGCTCAGACAAAAGTCGGGCTGTAAGTTTAACGACCGAAACAGTTAAGATTATTGATGCATTTTTGCTCCAGTTGCCCTTGTTTAAAGGGTAACAATTTTTTTTGAGACACATATTTTCTAGTTCTTTTCAGTGTAATTCTTTGCCCATTTCTTTATTTATGCTGTTCTGTTTATGTTACTATTTTAACTTATTGCAATAAAATGCATTTCAGCAAAACAAACATAACATGCTTCGCATCTGTCAATTTCCTGCAACCAAAATTTGTTATTTAAATATGGTTTTCAGTGCACATCTAACACAAAGCTCATCTTTCAAATATTAGATACATTTTTCAATCCCTACTTTATTTATATTGTTTCGTCTATTATTTTTTGTAGAATAACGTAATAAAATCCTAGTTATTCCACGAATATCTGATGCCATGCTAGTATTTCTAGAAAAAAAATTAAGCAATTGAAACATTCTTATTACATGTCTTAATGGGCAGAGGTGGAACCAAGCTACTGTTTTTCGCGTCATAAATCATTTTCCAAGTAAAGATATGCAAGTTAAGGTCATGTCCAAGGTAAGAGATTCGGATCCCAAGCCCTCAACTATAAATTCTGCCTTCTAACAAGTCATTTGAACAAATATGTAATTTTTATCTTACAGTGATAATTAAAGCTTTTTAGAATTCATGAGTGAATATTTAAAAGGGGATTTTGTCTGCCAAAACAAACCACAAAATAATTGAACATCCAATTATTTTTTTTCACTATAAATTTTAAAACAACCACTAAATTGAGAAAGTAAAGAGCAGACTGATCAATTATAATTTATTTCCATGCAAAATAAAATGTATATTTATCTTTGCAAACTACAACTGTACAAACATTCCAATGTATTGAAAACTTGTTGCTAAGTAGGAATACATTCTTCATATATTTCTTTTGGCAACTTGGTTTGTGGTAAAGCAAACACAATAAATCAAACCCCAATTCAGATATGACTCAACTGGTTTTAGGTTCGTCCTACTGCATATTTTTATGCTTCAATAATTTATTAAATCTGTCCTCTTATTATACAGGGAATCGTGATTTTAGAGGGATGCAACACCACACTTTAGATTTGGTTTTGTTAAAACATTTTCCTTCCTACTCACAGTGGAATTACTTTATGACTCCAACAACATAAAATCCAGACAAACATTCTGAAATGTGCAGTAAGGTGACAAAGAGTGAAATAGTTTGAAAAGTGCAAATTCTTTTGCAATGCATTGCAGGGATCATTTGAAAGAGATCAACTACAATATATTGAAGCTGAAGATGTAATATTTGCTCACCATACTTTTATTTTATTTTATGTATTAGTAACCTCTGACGAAAAACAATTCCTAATATTAAAAATAAACCGTTTTTTTTTTTTTTTTTTTTTATAACAGCCTAAGTAATGTTTGCAAAGCATGAATTATTTCATTAAACATTTTTGAGCAACGTGTTCCTCAGGATAGACCGGTTCGGAATGCAAACGCACCTTTGCACTTCCGTTGCATTCTGGGAGATGTAGGAGGAAACCGGAAGTGAGGATTTTTTGTTGTGCTGCTGGTTTGGCAGCTTTCATCGGTTAACTCTGAATAGCTCTTCTGGTATATATGGCATGTAACAAGGGGAGGATAACTGACTTCATTTCTTCTAGGACGGACATAAAGCTGTACAAAAATGGCCGTAGGTAAGTCATTCACTTTCTTTTTTTTCCCTCTAGTTATCACACCCTAGCATGACAGGCTAGTGCTAGCTGCCGTGGCGTTTGGGGCTGAAGTAAAATTAGATTAAAGTGAAAAATATTCGTAACTAAAGCTTACGTAGTACAGTTCATTGTTAGCGTCACCGTTCTTCTTCTTAATAAAGTATTGAAATTGAAAATGTCAACATTACATGCTATAAATAACTACATTTCGATGGTTTTTCTCCGCAGAAAATGTGAGCGTGGTCTTCAAGGTGTACTGCCTGTCAGTGATGACGCTGGTGGCAGCTACGTACACTGTGGCATTAAGGTACACACGGACCATTTCATCAGGGGACCTGTACTTCTCTACCACAGCGGTGTGCATCGCTGAGGTCATTAAATTAATACTGAGCCTTGGGATGCTGGCAAAGTAAGTGTTTATCTCATTTAATACAGTGCTGGATTATAATGGAAAAGTTTATTTCAGCAAATAAATGTATCTTATATGGATTCTCTACACACACAGTGAAATATTTTAAGTATTTATTTACGGTCAGTTAGATGATTATGGCTTAAAATTCCCAATAATCAGTGTCTGAAAATTTAACACCTATAAAAAAAATTACAGAAATACTTACAGAAAACAGCTTACTCTCCTAAAGACAATTATTTAAGAAGCTAGGTGTTCAGAGTGCTGTATCAAATATATTGATGGAAAGTTAAGTGGAAGAAAAATATGTACTAGAGAAAGGAGCAGTAACAAGCATAAGCTTTGCTTTGAAAGGATTGCTAGACAAAACCAATTATATAGAAGAGGAAAATTAACAGGGCATGATTTGCAGCTGGAGTCTGTGTTGCAAAAGCCACCAAGCACAAATATATCCAGGATTTGATTGTCTCATTCCAAGAGACATCTGTCTGTGGTTTCAGTGCATTCTCCTCACTGTCAAAACACAAAAAACATAGCTATTGTCCTTAGTCTCTGAATGACAATTTGATTGGTAAGCAAACCTGCCTTGACCTAAACCCATAGATCTTTTATGGGGACCTATCAAGTTGACAGTAAGACACCAAGCACACCAATGTAGTTGAGCTAAATCCTGCAATTAAAAGGACCTTTGACCTCAACACCTGGGCTGTGCCGCAGGCACACCTCCTCCATACAAAGCTGAATTTATGCAGTTGTTCATGCGCAAGTTTCCCTTGCTGAGTATTGAGTGCATATCCTGCACTGTACATGGATAACCATTTGCCTTGAAGTTGGTGTTCTCATAATTGGATTACTAGTGCAGTCTTGCACAATGTGTCTCATTTCAGACCTCCAGGGGGAAAGGTCTGCATGCTTCAGATGTTTCCCTTCATCAGAGTTTACAGTTGGAATAGAGATAACGGGTGTCCCTACAACTATATTATAAGCTGTTGTTCTTCCACTCTTTAACTGACTATACACCCTAAAGCTTATGGATATAATTCAATTCAATAAAATTCCGGAAGACTTCCCAGAAGGGCAATTAAAAAGGTGTTAAGAGCAGCAGCAGTGTATGCAAACACAGATAGAAAACTGCATAATAAAAAAACCCCAGACTTAAAAGTGCAATAACCAGGTTTGGAACCTTATGTAGATACTAGTGTTAAAATTTTTATAATTGACTTGTAGAAAAACAGACTTAAATAAGGGCTCTGAGTCCAGAGTCTGAGCTAAATCTTTTAAAGTGCTGCAGCCAGAAATCTGACAAGATAGTCGATCATTTCTGAACAGACTTTGGGTTGAGCGGCACCAGCAAGTGAATGAAAAGGTGATGTTATTTTCAAAAAAGAAATGTTAAAAGCTGTTAAAATTGATTTAACTCCAAAGCAGTCAAATGCTTTGGATTTAACTCTAAAGTTTAGTTTTTAGGGGGGTTTTATATATAAATTTTATTGTAGGGGGTCTACAGGGCATTTAAATTTATTTTCTTGTTTTATTTTTTAAATAAATTTTTTTCCACAACAGCCTTCAAAATATTTCTTAAATACTTCCAAGATCTCACGTTTTTTTCACTTTTGCACTTTTTGCCACTTAACTACTCCTGCATACTTTGGGCAATTCCAGCCAACATTTATCATATTCTGCTCCCTCAGGACATTACAGGTATGTCTTTCAGCAATGACATCTTCTATGGTTTGCAAAATATTTGCCTTTTTGTGACACTCCCTCCAATCCTAATCCCAACCCTCATTCCAAACCTTAATTTCAATCCTCCTTCTAACCCTCTCATAGGTGTCTATTAAACTTGTTTTGCAAATGAAACTATTCTAAACAGCTAGCCTTTCCCTACTAAAAACTGTGATGTGCACCATCATGCTTTCATCATAAAAACAGAAAAGTCTTCTGTTTTTATGAGCTCTGTTTTTTTCTGCTTTTAGTCAAAGCAGAAAAACAGAGCTGCCCAACTGGTTTGCTAGGAACATGCCATGTATTGTTGCCATATTTGTTCCTCCATATCTGTGCTAAACATAAAAACAATCTTAATTTTCCTGTGTTTTCAATGTCTCCAGAGAAACAAGTAGCATCGTACGGTTCAAGAACATGATAGTGGAGCAGATCATCTACAGCCCGAAGGAACTGCTGAAGCTGAGTGTGCCTTCATTAGTGTATGCAGTTCAGAACAACATGGCCTTTGTTGCACTCAGTAACCTTGATGCAGCAGTTTATCAGGTAAGATGGGCTCTGTTCTTCTAATTGTAACCAATTTGTAAAAACAAAATAGAGCGAGAGAGAGACAGAAATTTCTGGAATCATGTCCATTTTATTTTTTAAATGTTTTCACTACTTGTGTTCTGGGACAAATTGCTGAAGAGAAAATACACTTTAGAATATGAACATGGATTTTGTTGAGTTAACTGACACAAACAGGAGAACTTACACAACTAAAATGAAAGTCTGGCACCGGTATAAAACTTACCATGTTGATACAGGAAGTAATGAAAACAATTAGAGCAAATAAATGCTGTAAGGAACCAGAAGTTCCTACTAGAGACTTCTAGTTTCTAGGAACCATCACTTGTACAGGTCCAGGGTCAGAAAAAAGGGGCAGCCAACATCTCTGCTGACCCCACACATCCTGGACACATCCTGTTTAGACTTTTACCTTCAGTTCGGTGCCACAGAGGAAATTTGCAAAACCCTGCCATCACAGAGACCGTTTATTTCCTCAGGCTGTCTCTCTGATGAGCACAATGAACACTTTACGACTACGAGAGAAGTCAGCTTCTCTGTTGTGAAATGAGATATGCATATTTGCATTTCATATTTCCTCTATTTTTATATATAAAACATCTAAAATTTCCAGATTTATGCTTAATAATCTGTGAGCGATTATTAATTTTTTTTTAGTCATAAAGTTAAATTGTGCACACAGTCTTGTTCATTAAAGCTGATTGTTGGAACAAGGCTGCAAGAACAAGTTTAATAAATGTTTAATTATAATTTTAATAGTGTTGTCTCATAAAGGCAATACTGTTTATTATTACTCTTATTTCTTTTTAACCTAATAAACATTCTGGATATAAATCCCCTTATATTTCCAGTGTTACCAGAATATGAAATGCTTATAAAGCTTTTAAAAAATGCCCGTCTTTAGATCGGTTTTGTGTTTGCCGTTTAGGTGACTTATCAGCTGAAGATCCCTTGCACGGCCCTGTGTACTGTCCTCATGCTGAACCGCTCTCTCAGCCGGCTGCAGTGGTTTTCTGTTTTCATGCTTTGTGGTGGCGTAACGCTGGTTCAGTGGAAACCTGCAGAAGCTACCAAAGTCCAGGTACGGTTGCCATCAGGTGTGTTTAGCACGTTCTGGTGAGGCTGTGTTTACTAGTTTTTCTTTTCTTCTCCAGATTGAGCAGAATCCCTTTATTGGGTTCATGGCTATTGCCGTGGCTGTCCTCTGCTCTGGATTTGCAGGTAAAATTAAGAGCTAGATCCTTTTAAAGAGATGGATGTTTTTAACCTCTGGGTTCAGTTAGTTTTATTTCTGTTTCTGTAATCAAGGTGTGTACTTTGAGAAAGTATTGAAGAGCTCAGACACATCCCTGTGGGTCAGAAACATTCAGATGTACCTCTCTGGCATTGTGGTGACCCTGATTGGAGTCTTCATCAACGATGGAGAAAAGGTCATGGAGAAAGGCTTCTTCTATGGCTACACACCATGGGTGTGCTTGGTTGTATGTAAGTATTTGGAAAGCTGACGATGATTTAAGTCTGAAGTATTAAATTTGTTTGACACCGTTTCTGGTGCTGTTGCAGTTTTGGCCAGTGTTGGCGGTCTTTACACGTCCATAGTGGTGAAGTATACGGACAACATAATGAAGGGCTTTTCAGCTGCAGCAGCCATTGTTCTCTCAACAGTTGCATCTGTCCTATTGTTTGGACTGCAGATAAGTACGTTTCTTTCCCACACACATATTATTAGACTGAATTAAGAATGTTAGCAGATTCCAGCCACCTCACTATCTAGGAGCGTTTGGCACAGAAAATGAATTCAGCTTTAGGATGAATTAAGCAGGACAATACTTATGCAAACAGGCTATTGTTTAAGCAGAGTCAGTTTCGACAGCCTCATGTAATATGCAGAATATCATTACTTGATGTACTTATCTTGTATTTAAGGTGAATATTTTGGACAAAAACCCTAAAGTCTATGGCCAACTGGTGTAATTTTTAGGAAAATCTTGGTTGTTGGAAAAGTAAATATTCTTATTCATGTATACTTTTGAGATCATCACTTGTAAACAAAAGTTAAGAGGGATTTATTTAAAAAAAGCTTTTGAAACTAATTTTATTTTCTTCCTTTGCAGCAATCACATTTGCTTCTGGAGCATTGCTGGTGTGTCTTTCCATTTACCTCTATGGACTTCCAAAGCAGGACACATCCAAACTGACCCGACCAGATAAAGCGACAGACTCCGAACTTAAACAGAAACTAATCAATGTGTGAGTCAAACTCACCAAAGGCCTCTGTCAGAAGAATCACGGATGTTTTCTGTTGACCTGCAGGACTTCATGGGGTGACTAAAGAGACATTTTCCACATCAACACTAAACTGGGTCTGCACTGTTTGGTTAAATTTGCTTCATGCACATGGGATAGATGATTATGCTTTGACTTAGCTTTTCAAGCATCATCTCGCCTTTTTGTGCTATAAGAAGTTCAGCTGACTCAAACAGAGGGGTTGGTAGTTTCCTGATTGTAAAGGTTTTTTTGGTAATCTGAGGAAGTGGGTTACGGTCTGTGACTTAATCTTTAGTGAAGTAGTACATCTGTACAGGAGGCACATAAACAAGACAACTTCACACACTGAAGGATATTCTTTTAACTGTGCACAGTGATTATCAGAGGTTCAAATAAAGCCTGCAGATGAACATGAGGGCATCAGACTTAAAAGTACAGTGCATGATTGATTTTTAGTGAACCTCTCAACTGTTTTGTACAAATGTCGCATTGTGTTTTTAAATGTTATTTTAAAACTTATTAAATCGTAGACACTGTAGAAGAAGTTTGTATGTATTTTTAAATTTTATTTGGACAAATATAGGACTTTGTATTCACTACCAAAGATCTTTAAAGGTTTAGTTTACATTTTTTGAACCGGTGTGATTCCAAGTATTCTCATCCCGCTGGCCAGAACTGAGCGTGCTGCACTGAACAGTCGTAACCTTGCCTGCATAGTGAACAAAAAGACATTTTAAGATGTTTTTTTTTTTTAAATGTAATTTTGCATATTCAGATATAGTTAGAAGTGCTTTGTTATAAACCTGTGCAACATCCGGAGGACTTCCTTTCACAGGCAGCTCCCTGTGCGCTGAAGCGACGAAGCGGCTGTAAGGTACAGAGTTCTAATAAAAGTATGAACAGGTGTGTCTATGCAAAGTGTGAACCTTCACAGGACTAACCCTCAAAGCAAACATCCGGCTCCTTACCTCAGCTTCAGTAAAAAGCTGACGAGGTGTTTGGGCTGCAGATCCTGGTCCGACTGATACAATACCTCATCGTAACTACAAACAAATTAATATTTAAGAGGTAGATTGTGATCTTGTTACAGCACAGTGGACGGTGGTATGCTTACCGAAGGAGGTGCTGAAGGATGTCGACACCGGTCCGCTCACACAGGCAGGACGGGTTGAACGCGGCTGCCTCCATGCCTTCATTCCTCTGCATTAGACTGCCAAAACATTACAGGGGTTATGGGGTTTCTTAAAGTTGGAATACCTCACAAGAACAACTAGAAGATTTTTAATCAAACAAATATACAGTAAATCCTTGGGTTGTGGGTTCCTTTGGAGTACATAACTGCATCAGTGCAGCAGGACATGGAGGTGCTCAGCCTATTGAACAATCTTAAACTGCACCAACAGCAGCAGTTTAAGATTGTCTAAGTCATTACTGAATGTGGAAACTTCAATCTTGTGCCTCTCCATCCAAACTCTTGGACATTACTGCACTTTTTCCTTCCACTAAACATTCAATTACTATCCTTTGATACAGTCAGCTTTCTTTAGCAATTATGCTTTGTGTTTTACTCTGAAAAGAACGGTAAATTCAAGTCAAGTCAGAAGTCTTTCCTATGATTATTTGTGATTTTGTGTAATCATCTGTATGCCATAATATGAATCATACTGGTATAAATAATCATGCCTAAATCTTTATAACAACTCATGCTTACCTGCAGAGTCGGGCGTGTGTGTATTGCAAGAAGACACCGGTGTCGCCTTGAGCCTGCAGCATCAGATCCCAGTCAAATTTATAATCAGACTGAAGGGGACCTTTAAAATCCTGATAAAACAGCAGTGGAATTTTTTTTTTTTTCCTGTCAACAAGCAAAACAACTCGTGGGATTTTGTGAAGATCTGTTGTGATGCTTCACCTGGACTATTAATGCACTGATTCCCACTTTCTCTGCTGTGTCGTCCGGGTTGTCCAGTTCCTTTGTTGCTGTGGAAAGATTGATTCTGGGCGTTACTGCCTCAAACTACTTCACTAATTACTACTAAATGATGACAAGTTTCTCATTCTGGTCATCATTGTTTCTATTTTAAAAGAACACAATTTTTTTGTTGCCACATTAACCCCACAGCAAGTCAGATTAAAGAATTTCTAAACTGTCATTCCCAAGACTAACCTGACCAATGCATTTTCAGAGCGAGTCTGCCATGAGTTGTGAAAGAAAAGCCAACAGTCTGCTATGTTTGTCAGTTAGTGGTGGAAAAATTAGACACTTTTTTATGTTCTCCAATTTTTTTTTTTTTTTTTTCCAGCAATTAGAGCACGTACAGCATAGATTAGAAAACAATCTGTTACTAATTTAACTGAAATTAGTTCTGCAGACTAGTTCTGTAAGACTGTCAGAATGCTGCACTGCAGTACCATGCAGATCAAGTTAGATTATACCAAAACATGCAAGGGATCACAGAGATTCATTAATAACTAGAATATACTAAAAAATTATTTTTTAAACTAGATCTTGTGCTGCTGCAATATTCTTTTTTTTTTTTTTTTTACAAGTTTAAGTACTGAGATCCAAGCATGTAGCAATATTTAACATGATCTGAAATGCAAAATTTCTTAAATGCGGATGGCCTTACTATTGGATTGGTTCATGTTGTGGAGCATCCTGGCCCTGGCTTCGTCCAGCACATCCTCCAGAAACACCACCTCACCCGTCCTGGTCTTCATGCCCTGCACCAGGCCGAAGGACACGTGCCGACACCTGATGACACAACCACTCCGAAATATGAATTCAAATTTAAAGCTGTTGAATTGTTATACAAGATACAGCAACATAAATATCAATTAAATTAAGGAAGCTCACTATTTAAAGAACTTAAGATATTTTCTAGAGTATAATGACAATTGTAAACAGCTGTTAACTTAATAAGGGTTATAGTGGTAGGTAGAGAAGCAGTCACATGAAATAGGAATAAAGTGTTTCTCACTGATATGCTTACAGGCAATAATGTTACCGTTTTGTGTCAGTCTTTATGAAACATTTCTGAAGCCACTCATAATCAACTTCAGATGTGATTCTATAAAGTCAGGTCATTCTGGGATTAAGTGATTTATTTCCTGGTTACCTTGTTGTCATTCCTCTTGGCTTTCTTGCCAAAGGCGGAACATGTTTTGTACATATGTAGGTGAGGCACACAGTCATTACCTTTCAGCCCAAGAATTCCCCATTGTCCGGAGAATCTGGAACAACTGGTTGAAGTGATTCTCCTGGCTTTTGTCTGTCTGGAAAAAAAAACAAACTGGTTAACCAGGAGAATTAAATGGTAGCTATACAGTTTAAGATCTCCTCACACAACTGACTATTTGTGAAAATTAAGTTTTGCATGATTTCCAGTAAACTGAACACTTTGTTAAACTAGTAATCAAAAGCTTGGTTTCTGCACTTTTGCATTTCAAATTTCTATAGTTTTCCAGGCTCAAATTTCTAGTTTTTTTCCAGCAGTTTTTCGAACATTCTGCACATGCGAGTGCACAGTTTTCACCTTAAACTGCTTAAATTGTCGTCTTCTGGAGATTATACAAATCATGATGGAGCACAACTGAAAAACCACTTTATCCAGCTATAAATGCAAATTATTTAAAGCGCAATTCCCAAAGTTTGCCATCTTTTGTAAAATACGTTGTTTTGGACTTTCACTAGATTTGGTTTAAGGACAATTGTGGCAACTACATTTTCTTTTTTCCATACTTATCCAGACTTAAAAAAACGGTCAAACACAAATCCAGACTTTTCAAAACTACGTAGGAACCCTGACACCAACATCTATAGTTCTTAAAGAGAAGGTTCACTTCATTTAGGAAACACTCCTATTTTTTTTTATGCAGCAGATGTAGACAGAAACAACATAACAGTAAAGTAGATAAAAATAATAGATTTCTTTCAGCTCTTACCACATAAATCATATCATCAAAGCGGTACTTTTCCTTTCTGCTGATAGCTGCAGCAATGTCCCTGTGAGAGAAAACATTTCAGTGCTTTAATCTAATAATTTGAGATTTCAGAATAAAACAACCTAAGTGCTGATCTACAGACATGTATACATCCTGTGCTGGTTTTAAATCCTGCTTGCACTTACCTGGTGATGTAGAGAGCCGTTCCGTCACTGCGGAGAACCGTACAGATGTTGCTCATGTCTCCATTTGGAGAGAGATCAACCACGCCGGTTCCCTTCCTGTTAACACAATAATAGATGCATATAAAAATTATACATGCAAAAAAAAAAAAAAAAAAAAGCTGAAACATAATAAATACAACAAACCTATTTGTCTCTAGTATATTCTATATGGTTACACTTTCACTGTTCAGCCTCCATAATTAGTTTTCAGTTTGACCACTGCAGCATTGTCCAGACTGTAATTAGATGAAGTCCTTTGAGCGTGCTGGTAATTTTCTTGGCTTTTTAAACCACCTGTTTTTTCCCAGATAACGGTGAAACAGCTGAATTCAATTAAATATTCACAATACCACTTAAACTCTTTTTGTTCTTCAGTGTCCGCCTATTAAATCAGCAAATAAATGTTCGAAGGCCCCCACTACATCTCTGCATGTGAACAATAGATAATTAAGTTTAAAGACATAAAAAAAAGACAGTTCAGTCTCTGCACATGGGTTAAATCTGCTTGGTAATCAGATATGTGTTTAAATCAAATTAAAACAGTCAACCAAGGTCCTGATATACTTAAAAGTCCAAACTCCAACCTTATTGTAAATACTATGTGCTTCTGGTGGATCCTTACTAGGCTCAAAATAAATAAGCTCCTTTGACAAATTAAGGTCCAAGACGTAAAAAAACAAAACAAAAACAAACAAAAAAAACAGGAAAAGTAGTTTTAAAAAATATTATTATTATTTATCTACACCTGAACATAAGACCTAAATGTATTTCTTGAACTTAAAATGAACCCTAGGCAGTGTATTAATACAAGTTGCCACCAGGGGCTGGCCTCAGCACATCTGTGACTGACAAACCAGAGAAAAATGATTTATTTATTTATTTATTTTAATCAAATGCTTATTTGAGGCATTTTTGAACAGTGTGATTCTTATTTGTTGTCCATCCAATAAATATTCATATACATTTACACCTAAATGTTCAGCAATTTGAGCTGTCTTTTTAAACGCTTCTTGTTTAAACATGGTCATTTCCAGGTCATGAAAACTTCAGAGTAATGACAACTGACAAATTTTATTCATAACCCCCAGATCAGTCCTTGGTGATTTAATATGCTAACAATAGTGCGACGCTCTTGTTAAATGCATCCTGACGTCATAGCTGCGCACAACAGGAGAAGCATAATTAAATCCTAAATCTGATACGTTTGCAGCAGTTCCTAAATGCCACAAGTGTAGTTATGAATGAAGGCGTCTACATACTCTGAGGTTTTCAGCAGACCTCGGCTCTGCAGCTCCCGGACCACCTCCTGGGTTTGGGCTTGGTGAAAGGACTCCCCGCTGAACACATCAAAGTGGATCCCCAACCTC